AACTACCCCTTCATCTAAACCTGGCTTCACCTGGATGCCAGCACTCAGGGAGCATACATTGTCTGTGCCCAGCTATGGCTCCTGCTTGCCCAGGGCTTGGTGCATCTGTCCATGTACAGGAGACAGTGCTGCCTCCCTGGCCCTCCACATGGGGCTTTGTAATTTATTTTATTTTATTTTATTTTTTTGAGATGGGGTCTTGCTCTCTTCAGAGGCTGGAGTGCAGTGGCGCTATCTTGGCTCACTGCAATCTCTATCTCCCAGGTTCAAGCAATTGGGACTACAGGCATGAGCCACCATGCCCAGCTAATTTTTATATTTTTAGTAGAGACAGGGTTTCACCACACTGGCCAGGATGGTCTCAATCTCTTTTTTTGTTTTTGAGACAGAGTCTTGCTCTGTTGCCCAGGCTGGAGTGCAATGGCATGATCTCAGCTCACTGCAACCTCCGCCTCCTGGGTTCAAGCGATTCTCCTGCCTCAGCCTCCCAAGTAGCTGGGATTACAGGCATGCACCATCACACCCACCTAATTTTGTATTTTTAGTAGAGATGGGGTTTCACCATGTTGGTCAGGCTGTTCTTGAACTCCTGACCTCAGGTGATTCACCCACCTCAGCCTCCCACAGTGCTGTGATTACAGATATGAGCCCCTGCGCCTGGCCAGTCTCCATCTCTTGACCTCGTGATCCACCTGCCTCGGCCTCCCAAAGTGCTGGGATTACAGGCATGAGCCACTGTGCCCAGCCAGGGGCTTTGCAATTTAAAAGGAAGTGTCATACTCCACATAACAGGCTTCTGAAGTGAGCACTGCCACTGTCAGTTTATGATAAACAAAAAGAAGCTCAGAGAGGGGAAAAGGTTTGCTCCAGATGCACCATAAGCAAGAGGCATAAGACCCACGTGAGATCTCACTCCCCACCTGGTCCAGGGCATGTCTGCTCTGCTATAAAATGGAAAGGGAAACTGGTCAAATCTTTATGAAGCCCCTACTGTGTGCCTTTGGTCCCCTTTCCTCTTGGACTGCAATAAATCTTCCCAATTGCTAAAAGAGGTAGGTATAATTGTTCCCATTTCACAGATTGGGAAGCATAGGTCAGAGAAGGCATGTGGTCTGCTACATGTTACATAGTTAGGGCAGGAGAGGGATCAAGGTTTGAAACCAGGAGAGGGATCAAGGCTCTTCACTCTGCCCCTTGCTTGCTCAGGCCTAGAAAGATCCAGAAGCTCCATGTGAATGTGAGGGTCCCTCCCCAGCAGGCCTTGGATGTCAGGGAAAGTCAGTCACAGGCTGGCATCTCCTCCTTGCCTAAATGGACCTCCAGATCTAGGAATGCGAATCAGAGCCCCCTCACTCTGCCTGACTATCCCATTGCCAGGATGCCCTAGCAAGTTTCAAAAAAATGTCCCCATCTGGTTCTGATTCACTTACACTTAATTAATCAAAATGTTGTTTTGTAAGAGACACTTGAGATCCAAGAATCCTTCTCAAGTCTTTTACTTCATTCTTTCTTAGAAACAGAAAAATTGGGTTTCATTAAGAAGTGGTGACGCTGGAGGCTGAGGAAGCGAGGGTCTGCAGGAACTAGGCCCCAAAGGGGCTCAGATGGGGCAGATGCTGGCCCAGCAGGTCATTCCTCGAGATCTTGCAGACCTGGCCAAAGGCTAAGGCCAAAGACTTGGGCATAGGGGAGGCTGGAGAAGGGTGGGAAAGGGTCATCCCTCTATACTGGTAGCTCCCTAAGGACCGGCCCAGGGTGCTCACCTTGGTATCTCGAAGGTCCCCAACACAGAGCATGGCACAGAGGCTGCCCTGTGACACTTGTTAAGTGAACAAGTGAATGAATAAATGAATGAATGAAACGCTGCCAATACCCAGGTGTTTTCTGGACACATTCTCCTGCCAAAGTTAGATAAGATCAAAGCTGGTAGGACCCTGAGGGATTTTGTACAGAATTTTCCAAGCAGATGTTTTATGAGAAATGGTCTCTGATGTGTAATATGTTTGGGAAAGGTCACTCTCTCTCTCTCTCTCTCTCTCTCCTCTCTCTCTCTCTCTCTCTCTCTGTTTCTCTCTCTCTCTTTTTTTAGACAGGCTCCGTTCTGTCCCCCAGGCTGGGGTGCAGTGGCACAATCACAGCTCACTGTGCAGCCTTGATGTCCTGGGCTGAAGTAATCCTGCCACCTCAGCTTCCTAAGTAGCTGGGACTACCACCATGCCTGGCTATTTTTTATTTGTATAGATATGATAAATGATGTATTTTTTTATAGAGTTTTGCCATGTTGCCCAGGCTGGTCTTGAACTCCTGGGCTCAAGCTATCTATCCTCTCATCTTGATCTCCCAAAGTGCCAGGATTATAGGCTTGAGCCACCACACCTGGGTCACACTCTCTATCTCTACCTCTTCATCATGCTCTGATAAGTCTCACAGCCAAAAAATCTGCTAAACCCAGCATTTCCCAAACCTATTTGACCAGAACTCCTGTGGCTGCCTTGAAAAATATGCTACATGAAGGGTTTGTCCAGCTCTGGTCCCCACTCCAGTGCCAATGGGAAACTGAGGCCAAATGGGGACAGAAAAGATCCACTCACTCAAGATCACATGGCACAACTGGGTCAGGGGTGGGACTGAAATCCAAGGCTATCTCCATTGCATCCAACTAATAAATGAAGCCCTACCTCTTCTGCAGATGTTAGGCAGGTGTGTGTCCCAGAGGCAACAGATCAAGTACTGGGGGAGGGCTGCCAACAGTCCCTCACCAAATTGCAGCTGTGTAAGAAGCCGCCATATCCTCACCTTCTCACTGAGCTCCTGGGGAGGTGGTGGTGAGCTGTAGATGGGGCGAGGGGGGCAAAAGGGGTAGGATAGGAATTTTTCATTTTTCTTTTCTTTTTTTTTGTCTTTTTTGAGCTGAGTAGCATCTTAAAATCTTATAAACTAGCTCTTCTTCTTCTTTTTTTGAACAGTCTCACTCTGTCACCTAGGCTGGAGTGCAGTGCTGCGATCTCAGCTCACTGCAGCCTCCGTCTCCTGGATTCAAGTGATTCTCCTACCTCAGCCTCCAGAGTAGTTCAGATTATAGGCACCTGCCACCACACTCAACTAATTTTTGTATTTTTAGTAGAGACAGGGGTTTCACCATGTTAGCCAGGCTGGTCTTAAACTTCTTACCTCAAGTGATCTGTCTGCCTCAGCCTCCCAAAGTGCTGGTATTACAGGCATGGACCACCAAACCCAGAACCTCAGTTCCCTCATCCAGAAAATAAGCATCTCTCCCCTCCCTCCACTAGGCCATTGTGAGTAGCCAAGGACACAGTGGACAGGAAATGAGAATGATTAATACTTAGGAGCACCCATTAGGAGCCTGTGTCCTCAGCTACTCATTTCCCATACACAGTAACTCAGTCTTGCCCACAATCTTCCTTATGAGCAGGACACTTAAGTAAAACATGTGTTGATGCGGGAAAGGGGTTTTGTCTGACATTTTGGTATTGCTTAGAATGGAGAAGGATCTCAGACATCTTCTGAAGGACCCTCAGATGGGTAAAGTGAGGATTGGAGAGGCAAAGTGACTTATCCAAGGACATTCAGTTGGTAACTAAGGAAGCTGAGATTTGAACTCAGTTCACTTGGCTCCAGAGCCTATGCCCCTAACCACTAAACAAAGGCCATTCACAAAAGAGTGTCCCCATGGAGTCCCAGCTCAGCTGAAAATCACATGCCTCTTCACTCCCTTGTCCAACTGTCCCAGCAAGAACTGGAGCCTCTCGGGCCCCAGTCTCCCCACCCCATCCAGTCCTACCTCCCAATTCTCCCACAGCCCCTCTCTGCTTCCTGCTCTGTTCCAGGAGTGACTGGGTCCCTGTAGGGCTTTCACACAAATGGCAGGCCTCAGAGGGCAAGCCATTCTCTCTCACTCTCCTTCCCTCTCCCTCCTATGTATCCTTGCTCAGACCCAACACAAGGGCTGGAAAGAGAGAAGACACCAGCTGGATAATTCAGCAAAGTTATTTAAACCAGTCTGAGCCTTGGAACCCCAGTCTTTATTAAAACTGGATGACCCCTATGTCATGAGGATATAATTGGGATTTGATGAGCTGGGACATGAAAAACCCATGGCACAGTGGCTGGCATTCAGCTACAGATCTTAAGAGTGGCACCTGGAGGCCAAAGGGCTGCCCAGTTCAGGCAGACGATTTGTTCACTTGCTCACCCACTTATCCTTCTCTGGGGCACAGGCTCTACCAACTCCTGGTCTGCAGGGACAGCCTCCAACCCAATTCTGAGGATGTTCTGACTCTCACAGCAAGGCTGTGGCATTGGACTCCCAGGTGAGAGTGCATGGGGCCCCTGGTACATTTATAATCTGAACCTTGGTTCATCTTCCCAGTGGCCTGAGAGGACAAGATGGAAAAACTAAGGCTCTCAGAAGGGCTGGACTTCTAGGTCATCCTCTATTAGAATAAGTGAACCTGAACTCAGGTCTCAGGTCTGGCTGAACTCAACAGAGGTGGGCCATGGAGAATCACTGTCCTCTGGGAGGTGACACCAGGAGTCAGGGTGAGTGATGGGGCTGGGACTGGGGCATCTGGACTCCCAGCCCAGGGCTAAGTCACTTCCCGACACAGCAGAGATGCTTGGGATGGCTTCTAAGCCACTGAGTCTGTCTCCTAGTCCCTGTGCCCCCCAGGCTGGCTCTCGAGGCTTCCATCTCTGCACGGAGCTTTCCTCCTTTATGCTGACCATCGGCTACTACAGAGAGCCTTGCTACTCCCTCCCTTTTGGGAGAGTCTCCTTGGCCCACCCTGCTCAATGGCTCACTCACTGGGTGCCCTGGAGCCTCAGTCTCCCCATCTAAAGTGAGGCTGACAGCCATCTGGAGGAGCGAATGATCCAGGGCGCCAGGCACCAGGCAGATGCCCCCAGCGCCGCCCCTACACCCTGTACCCAGTCTGCCCCGGGGCTCCTGCTCGGCCGCCCTACTCAGCCACCCCTCATACCTTGCTTCTTCCTTCGGTTCAGGGCCAGCATGTCCACGGCATGGGCGACGAGCAGAAGCAGGCAGAGTGGCGCCCGCATCTGGGCAGCCTGGTCCCGGCTGGCGCTTCCCTGGCGGCCCGACGGCCCCACGGCCCAGCGGCGGCGCGGGGGCTGCTCTGGGCGCGCCGGGCTCATCCGCCAGGCGCGAATCGGTCCGGCCACCAGGGACCCGCGGTCCGCCCCGAGGCCAGCCGCCAGGTCGAGTGAGGGCGTTGGCGGAGCCGGGGCACTGCCCTGGCGGGGAGGAGCCAGAGCGGCGGGGGCGGAGCGTCAAACAGCTCGGGGCCCGGGAACGCGGGGGGAAGGGGCGGGGGTCGCCCAGACCAGGGTCCCCGAGGTCGCTGTGTTCCGCAGCCCGCGGTGTGGCGTCTTTCCCGCCCCCGGCACTGCCCTGAGCACGTGCTCATGCCCACGGCCAGCCACAGGTACGCACCGGCGCGCAGGTACAGACCCGCGGACACCGGAGACCCTTACCGTCTCCCGCGCCCGCTCCGCGTCTGCGGTTTTCTTTCCCTCCCTGCCTCCCGCCCCCTTTCTCTGTTGCTTCCTCCTTCTGGCCCTTAAGGACCACTCCTTGGCTCCTGCTTTCTGGTTCTTTCTTCGGCCCAGGTTCTCCTGCTCTGCCCCCGACCCCGCCTGGCTGTCCCTGCATCCTTTACTCTTGCCAGCGGTCTCTGCCTCAGGCTCACTGTCTGTTTCCACCTGACTGGGCCTCTGGCTCTCTCTGTTCTCTGTCTCTTCCTTCCTTTCATCTCTCCCCTTCTCTCCTTCGGCAGGGTTGGGTGTTTGCGGGACTCCTGAAGCCTGGCTTTCTCTTTTTCTCTCCGTTGTGTCTCATTCTTTCAACCGAGTCCTGAGCCCCTCTGGCCACTAACCCTGAATGTTTCCTGCGCAGTCTGCAGGGATCACCTACTCTGACTCAAAGTGACCAGCACCTCATAAATCCACCTGTGACAGGGCTCGGGACCTGGACTGTGTTTCCTCCAACCTTATCACCAGGACTGAGAGCAGCTGGTTCGAGTTTAACCCTTTCAAAGCAAAATTCCTCCGTCAACCCGACAGCAAGCTCACCTCTCCTGTCAACATACCCACCAAAAACAACATCAAGCATGCCTCTTATTTGGCAGGCATATGTGGTGGGCATTGCTAAGAACTTTACATATAAGAGTCTTCAAAACAACCCAATGAGTTGGGTTTCTATTCTGAGTAACCCCACTTTTCCCAGGGAGCAAAGGGAAGCTCAGAGAGGCCAAATGACTTGCCCAAGGCCACACAGCAGGTCAGTGATGATTCTGGTCCAGTGCCTGCCCCTCTTACCCACTAATCAGACACAGACTCATCAGAGGGGAAGGAGCCTTAGAGGGAGGCCCAGAGGAACTTATACTTGACACTCTCTTGCTGAACAATTTTTCTTTTCTTTCTCTCCTCTCCTCTCCTCTCCTCTCCTTATCTCTCTCTCTCTCTCTCTCTCTCTCTCTCTCTCTCTCTCTCTCTGTCTCTCTTTCAACAGATTTTCACTCTGTCACCCAGGCTGGAGTGCAATGGCTCAATCTCGGCTCACTGCAACCTCCACCTCCTGGGTTTGAGTGATTCTCCTGCCTCAGCCTCCCAGGTAGCTGGGATTACAGGCAGCCACCACCATGCCTAGCTAATTTTTGTAGTTTTAGCAGGGACAGGGTTTCACCATGTTGGCCAGGCTTGTCTTGAACTTCTGACCTCAAGTGATCTGCCTGCCTCAGTCTCCCAAAGTACTGAGCCTATGGCATGAGCCACCTCACCCGGCCTGTCCTTTTTTTCCTACAAATGGATCTTGATGGAAGGTAAATGCTGGTGTCTCCTCTAGCTCCTTCTCCCAGTGCAATGAGGGACACTTGAAGGCATAGCAGGGGCAGGGGAAACACACAGAGAATGTGGCAGCTGAAGATACAACCCTGGCCTGCCCATTCTTTCTATGGGACCCCAAGAACACTGGCAGACAACACAGAGATCTTGGTGGAATGTCAGGGCCATCCATCCAAACTGCTCCATTTCACAGCGGAAGCCACTGAGGCTTCAGGACTGGAGGTGCCTAAGTTAGGCCACCCAGTGAGTCAAGGACAGAGCTGACATGGGCATCCAGGTGTCCCAATGTGGTCTCCACCATGGCCTGCAAGGCTCTCTTGTTCTGACATCTCTGATCTCAGTCTTTCCCACCGCCCCACCTGGAGATTTCACCTCTTGAGTATTTCACAAACACCACAGGCCTCTCACACCTCTGAGCTTTCATGTTGTGAGGCCTCTCCATGGACTGCCATCCTGTATCCTATTTCCTTCTTCACTGCCCCTGCTCCAGAAAGCCTTCCCTGATTCTCAGGCCAGGTCCAGTGCCTCCTCTGGGCATCCGCAATCCCTTTATCACAGCTCTGATCACATCAGGTGATAACAATGAATGTGTCTGTTCTTCCTTCTAAACTGTCAACTCTTTCAAGCCAGAGCCAGACACAGAGCGGTGCTCAGAATGTTTGCATAATAAATGCATAAATGAATGAATGGTGAATGAATGAATTCTCCAGATGCATGAGTCTCCCAGCCTGTACCTGGAATGCAGGTACTTGGAGAAATGAGGTGACCTCAGAAGATCAAGCCTTAGGAAAGCAGAAGTCATTCCCTAACCTACTACCCCAAGTACTGGAGTCTCCAAAGTCCAAAAGGGGACAGCTTCCATATAAGTGGAGCCAAAGAGGACCAATGGGCATTGTGAATTGATAGTTAGCCACATGTTCTGCAGGATGAAGCTGTTCACCCCTTCTTGGATTTCTCCCCACATTCATTCCCCACTGCCCGTGCTCTAGCTAGGCTCATGATTCTCAGACTCCTGTCACTCATCCTGCGCTTTTTGCCGCTTGCTCTGCCTGGAAAATCTTTCCCCAGATATCCCCAGGGTTTGTGTCCCCTTGATGTTGCCTCCTCAGAGAGACCCCCGGTGACCACTCCAGTAAAATGGACCACCATTCACTTTATCCTCTCGTCTTGCTTTACCCTCCATAGTACCTGTTCGTGTCTGTCAGTTCCTGTTTGTTTGTACGTTCCATGAGGACAGGAGTCTTCTATTTTGTCCCCATGTGCCTTACACTGCAGTGATTAAGACATATTTGTGAAATGAATTTTTTTAATAAAATGAATGAATGAATAAGCACTGATTCATCCATGGATTCATTGCGGGACCTCAAGTCCTTTCTGCTGTCTTAGGGTCAGTTTCCCCAGCTGTTCAATGGCATAGATGGGATTTTGTGTTCTGTGAGAGCCCCTTTAGTGCTTCCAGAATCAGATGTTTCTCAGGTTCTAGGGCCCAGAACTCAGGGCCCTTTCCTGCCCCGAGATGCTCAGAGGGTGTTTGGTTCTCTTTAACTATGGGGACTGTCTGTGCATCTCTATCTGTTATCTAGCTCCTCTACCCCAATACAGGTGCCCAGGGAGGCTAGCGATGCTGATGGCATGCCCAGGGGGGTATGCACCCAAGGAGTGTCAGTTAAGGCACCATTGTCACAGGTGTAAGAGCGGAAACACACTAAACTCATAGCATGTGTTCCTGATCAGCACATCCTTCTTCATGGGATAGCAGGAACTTGGATTCCTTTCATCTTGTGTTCTGCCTGGTTCAGTACCTGGTTTAAAGCTCACCCAGAAAGGGCAGGACTTATGGAAAGTAGAGAGACAGTCTACCTATGTCCCATTGGCCAGAACCTTAGACACATAGCCACACCTTCCTGTAAGGGTGGCTGGGAAATGTAGTCCAACCATGTGCTAGACAACACACAGGAGGCAAAGCAAGAGTTTGGTGAACATCTGGCCCATTGACCAACATCCGGCCGCCCTCATTTCTTGCCCCAGTGATGCAGTAGCTCCTTCTTGTGTCTGTGCTGGCCCCTACAAGCTCTCCTTCCTAGGCAACCAGAGGATCTGTATTATTCACTGGGTGAAGCCCAAATTTCTCCTCAGAGATGCAAGGGCTGCATCGTGGCACCTACTAGAGGGCCATCTGCTAGGGTGACCAGCTGTCAGGTTTGCCAGGGATTGAGGGGTTTCCTGGGATGCAACATTGTCTTGTGTATAGCCTGGTATAACACAACCACAATCAACATACTTAAATGTAACATCATCACAATACTCCATGGTACCCATTTATGGCTCTGCCCTCCCTCTCCACTTCCAGTCCTAACCCCTAGGAACCACTAATCGGTTCTCCATCTCTATAATTTTTTATTTTTTGAGACAGGGTCTTGCTCTGTCACTCAGGCTGGAGTGCAGTGGCACGATTATGGCTCACTGCAGCCTCGACCTCCTGGGCTAAAGCTATCCTCCTGCCTCAGTCAAGTAGCTGAGACTACAGGTGCATGCCACCATGCCTGGCTAATTTTTTATTTTTTGTAGAGACAAGGTTTCGCCATACTGCCCAGGCTGGTCTGGAACTCCTGGGCTCAAGTGATCCTTCCACCTTGGCTTCCCAAAGTGCTGAGATTACAGGCATGAGGCACCATGCTTGGCCTCCCATCTCTATAATTGTTTTTACATAAATATTATATAATGGAGTCATGCAGTATGTATCTTTTTGAGACTGTCTTCCTTCACTCAGCACAATTTCCTTGGAGATTCATTTTAGTTTTGCATGTATTAGTTATTTGCTTTTTACTGCTTAGTATTATATGGTATGAATGTAATATAGTTTGCTTAGCCATTCATTCACTGAAGGACATTTGGGTATTTTCCAGTTTTTCATTATTAAGAATAAAGGTACCATGTTCACTTGTGTGTAGGCTTCTATGTATCCTCTTTGGTGAAATGGCTGTGCACATCTTTCACACATTTTAAATTGGATTTTTAAAATTGTGTTTTAAGAGTTCTATGTATATTCTAGATAGACGTTCTTTGTTGGTTAGGTGATTTGCAAAGTGTGAGGTTTATGTCAAAGTTCATTTTGTATTTTTATGTTTTTTATGCTTATGGTTGTTCATTTTTGTTTATGTTCATTTTTCACTTTTGTTTATGTCAAGTTTCGTTTTTTATTTTTAGTCTTTGGATGTCCAATTGCTCCAGTATGCTTTGATGTAAAAGCTTTTAATTGCTTTTACTCCCTTATCAAAAATTAATTGGGCATATTGGCAGGGATTTATTTTGGGGTTGTCTCCTGTATTCCATGGACTATGTGTCTTTCTGTCTTCCAATACTACACTC